ATGTAATACCCAAAATATCCCTTTATACGATTGTGCTAGCAACCAAAAGGATAAATCAAAGTAGAACACAATATGCACAAAGTTACCATCGTGCCTCAAGTCTAAGGATTTGTCATGTACTATTGTAACATGAAAATACTTATTCGACAAGACAAATCTTTCATTAAGAATTTTCATACGGTCATGTTCAGTGAACTTTTTCTATAACAAGCACTCACATATATGTACTTGCGTCCCACGCTAATGTTGATGGAATGCAACATTCTTTGTCCAACAAGCGTACATACTATGTGAAAGTCTTTTTTCGGATTATTCGATATCCCATCTCGAAACATCCAACGACTTGGAACTGTATTTAAAATCGCAACTTTCAAGGTATGTTCCATGATCACCATCTCTATGCGCAACCATACCTTATAGCCATAAGTGATTTAGGGATTTTATCTTAAGTGCGATTGTAGGATAAAAGCTTACTCTTAAGATAAAGTAATGCCTTATTTACAATATAATTCCAATAGATAGTATTTACAAGTAAAATATATCCAATCCGATTGGAACGCCGGGTATCCAACTCTAACAATCTCCCACTTGCCCTAGTTCCAATCACTCATGTATTTAAGACCCATCTTCTCAAGATGTCCTTCAAACACTTTCTGTGATAAGGGCTTAGTTAAGGGGTCTGCAATATTTTCTGCTGAGTCGACTCGCTCCATCATGACGTCGCCTCTACCAATGATTTCTCTAATCAAATGGTATCGTCTCATAATGTGCTTGGATCTTTGATGAGATCTTGTCTCTTTTGCTTGCGCAATAGCCCCATTGTTATCACAATAAATCATTATTGGATCAACAACAGATGGTACTACACCCAACCCTTGGATGAAGTTCCTTATCCAAACAGCTTCCTTTGCAGCATCAGATGCAGCAATATATTCAGCCTCTGTCGTGGAGTCAGCAATTGTTTCTTGTTTGGAACTTTTACAATTAACCGCTTCTCCATTCAGAGTAAACAAGTAACCAGACATGGATTTAAAGTCATCTTTATCCGACTGAAAACCAGAATCAGTAAAGCCTATTAGTTTCAGTTCTCCATTTCCATACACCATAAAGATATCCTTAGTCCTTCTTAAGTACTTAAGGATCATCTTAACCGCTTTCCAGTGTTCTTCACCTGGATTAGACTGATATCTGCTCGTTACACTAAGTGCATAAGCCACATCAGGTCTTGTACATAACATCACATACATAATGCTACCAATAGCTGATGCATAAGGTATATGACTCATCCGTTCTCTTTCTTCAGGTGTCTTTGGAGACATCGTCTTAGAAAGTGAAACCCCATGACTCATTGGAATATATCCACGTTCGGATTCTTCCATGCTAAACCGTTTTAGCACCTTATTTATGTACGTTGACTGGGATAGTCCAATCATCCTTTTAAATCTATCTCTATAGATTTTTATCCCAAGGATAAAAGATGCTTCTCCCAAATCTTTCATGGAAAATTGTTTTGACAACCATGTCCGTGTTGATTGCAACATCCCTACATCATTCCCAATGAGTAAGATATCATCAACATAGAGTACAACAAAGGCAACTGCATTCCCATTACCCTTCTTGTAAATACATGGTTCATCCAGGTTCTTATGAAAATCAAACGTTTTGATCGTTTCATCAAACCGAATGTTCCAACTCCTCGAAGCTTGTTTAAGTCCATAAATAGACCTTTGAAGCTTACAAACCATTTGTTCGCTCGCATTGGATATGAAACCCTCCGGTTGTTTCATATAAATGTCTTCCTTAATGTTTCTATTAAGAAAGGAAGTTTTCACATCCATTTGCCATATCTCGTAGTCATAATACGCAACTATAGCAAGTAATATCGGAATGGATTTAAGCATTGCTACTGGTGAAAAAGTTCTTCATAATCAACTCCTTGTTTTGTTATTATAACCTTTAGCAACCAGTCTTGCTTTAAAAGTATTCACTTCTCCATCTACACCACGTTTTCGCTTGTAAACCCATTTACAACCTATGGGTACTATACCCTGTGGTGGATCAACCAAGGTCCATACCTTATTTGAATACATGGAGTACATTTCGGATTACATAGCTTCTTGCCATTTA